AATGTGGGAGTTCAAAAGACTGCGGGATTTAAGAATAGCTTTGATGGGTAATGCATGCCAACTATTTTGGTGGATGTAAAATAAAGATTAAAAAGCCCAACCCATATATATAGCTTAATGAGAAGAAGTAAAATACATGTGTTAATATGATTATCTTCTGCCACCACATGTGTTCTCAGTTTGTACTAGAACGCTCTGCAGAAAGTTATCTCATCCTGATCGTTCCTCACTAACGGTTTAATCCTGACCCTTAATGTCTTTGTTTGCTTTTCATACTCGTTTTATATATGTATGCTAAGCTACAGTGAATAGAAGGCAGAGAAAGAATTACCACCACATTTGTTCTTCCTATACTATTTTCCCTTTCTCTATGTTTCTTGGTTTTAGCTTTGTTCGGTGTTTCCACAGGTATCAGGATACTGCATTTCTACATGGTAATTAAGAAGGAATTGTCAGCAGTGAGCTTGTTAATAGATAGAAGATTATGATTGAGATTTGGAACAAGGTGAAGAGAATTAAGATGGATCTTACGAGTAGTAGGTAACAAGCCTTTACCAGTATGAGTAATCGGGAGAAGATCACCGTTGCCGACCATAACTTGTTGAATGCCATTGTAAGGTTGAGCCTGGTGAAGTTGAGAAGAGTCGCTGGTTAGATGCGAAGTCGCTCCAGTGATAAGTAACCAGTCAGATGAAGTAGGGGCAGTATCAGTTGCATACGCCTAAACTTGAGGTTGAAATGAAAAATTGCCTCGATACCAGCATTTGAAGGCAGAGTGACCAACCTTTTGGCAAATTTGACATTCTATTGGTGGAGAAGACACAGTTTTTGTTCTTGGAGACAAAGAACCACCACGTCCAGAATGAGGAGAGAACCGTCCACGAGAATAGCGACCACGTCCGCAGCCATGTTTAGCATACAATGTAGAAATGGAATCTTGTGGTGAAGCAAGCGATAAATCACGAATTGAATCTGCAGCAAGATTCAATTCTTCACTGCATAGTAGTGAATAAAAATCATATAAGCTTATGGGATTTAGATTAGTTCGGATGGATGTTTTGAATGCCTGGTAAGTATGAGGTAAGCCATTAAGCGTATACATGATTATATCTTCTGTAGGTAATGGAAAACCAGAAGAACCAATGGCATCAACTTTACTCTTGATATCTGATAAATACTGCATCATCGATTTATCCTTCATCGATATATGATGTAACTCGTTCTTAAGCTGGAGAATCCTTGAATGGTTAGTAGATTGCAGTCAGCGTTCAATGGTTTTCCAAATATCTGAACAAGAGTCCAGATTCAAAACATAGGGAAGAAACGTGGGAGATATAGTGGAGTAGAGAACAGCTGCAAGATTCTGATCAACAAAAAGCCATGTAGAATATTCCAGTTTTGCTTAAAGCTCGTCGGAGGCTGTGGATACTAGTTTCAAAGGTTTTGTGATGGATCCATCTAAATACCCATCAAAGCCATTGGCAGTGAAAAGCTTTTGAATCTGAGACATCCACAAAGGAAAATTATCTGCAGTCAGTTGAAGATTGAGGATAGACTTCACATTAGTCATTAGAAACTTCATTTGTGACGGTACGGTGATGTCCGCCATTTTCACAGCGGAAGGTGTAGTAGGAGTTGAGGTAGACGACGAGGCAGAAGACGTCATTCAGACAGATCAAGCCGTAAGGCACAAAAAATGCTCATGGTTACACTATCAAGGATCAGAGGAACAATCAAGTTCTCCTTCGAGGCCCCTCTCGTCGAGGTCTTTACCCAATATCTACTAAATCCTCATCAGAGTCTGCTCAGCTTGCACTAGTCGGTAATTCTTCCACAACTACTCTTTGGCACCGTCGCTTGGGACATGCATCTTCACCAGTTTTACTCAAGCTGCAAAAGTTTCTTTCTCCATTAGGCACTTCTCTGTTTTCTTCTATCGATTGTAAAGCTTGTGCTCTTTCAAAAAGTCACAAGCTCCCATTCTATCCTTCTCTTTCTCGTACTAGTATTCCTCTTCAATTAATACATAGTGATGTATTGGGACCTTCTCCAAAGTTATCTTTACAAGGTTTCAAATAATATGTTATTTTCATAGATGATTTCTCTCGTTTTTTTTTGGTCGTATCCTTTGAAAGCAAAATCTGATGTTGTTCCTACATTTCATCATTTTAAAAGTCTTGTTGAAAATCAATTTGATGCCAAAATAAAATGTTTACGCTCTGACGACGGTGGAGAGTATAACTCAAAACAATTTCAATTATTTCTACAATAATTTGACATCATACATCAACAAACTTGTCCTCATACACCTGAGCAAAATGGGCGTGCCGAACGAAAACACATGCATATTACTGAGATAGCTAGGGCTCTGCTATTTGAAGCAAACTTACCCACAATTTTTTGGGTACATGATGTCCAAACTGCAATCACTCTTATAAATTGCTTGCCCTCTATTTCTCGAAAATCTACATCTCCCTTCCAGCTTCTATATAAGAAACAGTCGGACTATCACAGTTTCAAGACATTTGGCTGTCTGTGTTATCCTTTTCTTCCTTCTCAATTCCATACCAAATTCCATCCCAAATCTCTCCCATGTGTTTTCATTGGTTATCCTCCCAATACAAAAGGCTATCTATGCTTTAACATAGATTCTGGTAAGCTATTCATATCAAGGCATGTGAAATTTGTTGAAATCGTGTTTCCTTACTCAACCTAAAATCTTCTCCATAGCCTACTACATCTCCAATCTATACACCTCCTCTGTTACTAGTTCCAGCTACCTTTGATTCCACTAAACATACAACATCCAGTCTGACTCCTGTCTCACCGTCCCATGCTTTGTCTCCAATACAACATTCTGCTGCTACTACTCTTTCTGATTCTCTACCCATATCTCCTACAAGTGCTTCTACTCAACATAATTCCTGTATAGCTCCACCACAAATTCTTCAGCCTATTTCCCAATTAAATAAGCATCCAATGCTTACCTGTTTACGCACTGGTAACCTTAAGCCTCGCCATATTATCAGTATGAATAATTCTCTTATATCACATGATCCAACTTGTTATACTCAAGCTGTCAAAAATGTTCTTTGGTGACGTGCAATGTCCACAGAATTTGCTGCTTTGCAAAAACAAGGGACCTGGCGGTTAGTTCCTCCAAATCCGCTTCAAAATGTTATTGGTTCGAAGTGGGTTTATAAAACCAAATTCAATTTGGATGGTTCTATGGCACAACTCCAAGCTCGAATCGTTGCTCAAGGGTGCCATTAACATTATGGTATCGATTATATGGGCACATTTAGCCCCGCTGCTAAACTTCCTACCATACGAATCCTTTTAACTCTTGCTGTTACTTTTAAATGGAATGTATTGCAGCTTGATGTATCCAACGCATTCCTACACGGTTAACTTAGTGATCCTGTCTATATGTCTCAACCACCAGCATTAAAGATCCTCTCTATCCTGACTATATCTGCCTTCTACAAAAATCTATTTATAGTTTAAAGCAGTCTCCACGCAAATGGCTTGAGACATTTTCTACATACTTGCTTTCTTACGGTTTCAAGCATAGTTCTGCGGATCCTTCTCTATTAATATATCAAAGGAAGTCAACTACAATTTACATTTTAATTTATGTAGATGATATTCTTCTTACCGGAAGTGATGAATCAGTCATAAAACATCTATTATCTGCCTTATCTATTCGATTTAATATGAAAAATCTGGGTCAGATTTCATATTTTCTTGTTATGCAAGTTGAACTAATTACAGATGGTCTCCACATATCACAATCCAATTATGCCTTTGAGTTATTAAATCGGGCGGGTATGACTGATTGCAAACTATTAGCATCTCCAGCTCCGACCAAATTTTCTATTGCTTCTTATTCAGCTCTCTCGCCTGATCAAGCACAACTGTTTCGTCATCTTGTGGGCTCATTGCAGTATCTAACAATTACGAGACCTGACATTGCTTTCACAGTGAATAAACTCTATTAGCACATGCATCAGCCGCTCGAAATTGATTTTAAACTTCTCAAACGCCTTCTTCGATATGTTAAAGGTACAATTCAGTTTTGCTTACCAATTCTTCCTGGTTCGCTTCAGCTCTCTGCCTATTCCGACTCTGACTGGGCAGGTGATCCAAGTGATCGAAAGTCAACTACATGATATTGTGCTTTCCTAGGTAATACATTGATTTCTTGGCAAGTTAAAAAGCAGAAAACTGTCACCCGATCATCGACTGAGGCTGAGTACCGTGCCCTCGCTACTGCTACGACTGATATTGTCTGGCTTCGGAGACTCCTACAGGAATTTCAACTTAATGTTACTCAACCCACTACATTATTTTGTGACAGCATCTCAGCTATGGCTCTTGCACATAATCCTGTTTTCCATGCATGACCGAAACATATTGAAATTGATGCTCATTTTGTTCGTGAATGTATCAAAGATAACACGCTTCAGATCTCGCATATTCATACTGTGGATCAGCTAGCATATTTTTTTACAAAGCCTCTGTCTATCCCTCGTTTTCTTCTTCTCTGATCCATGCTCACCATTTTAGAAGCACTTGTTAGCTTGCGGGGGGCTAATGAGAAGAAGTAAAATACATGTGTTAATATGATTATCTTCTGCCACCACATGTGCTCTCAGTCTGTACTAGAACGCTTTGCAGAAAGTTATCCCATCCTGACCGTTCCTCACTAACGGTTCAATCCTGACCCTTAATGTCTTTGTTTGCTTTTCATACTCGTTTGATATATGTATGCTAAGCTACAGTGAATAGAAGGCAGAGAAAGAATTACCACTGCATTTGTTCTTCCTGTACTATTTTCCTTTGTTCGGTGTTTCCACAGATATCAGGATACTGCATTTCTGCATAGCTGAGATTTATTTCGGGAGGAATCACAATAGATAATTATATAAGTAATGGAGAGAGAGAGAGAGAATATTTTAAAGTAATATAAATAAATATAAAAAAGTTAAGTATTAGAAACATCCCTTAGAATTTATCCACGGATTTCTTGTAGCCAAAAACCAAGTTGCTAAAGAATAATCCATACCATTTACCTCGCCTGAAACCTTTTGCCATGGAAGCATTTCTGCTTGACCCTTCCACGCGATTCCGACATCCAATAACTGCTCTCCCAAAGTCTCCAACTCTACGAGCCGTTTACACAAACCCTAGTCCTTCCTTCCGCGTTGGAGTCCGCTGCGGCCTAAGAGATGGCCCGAGGAAGCCGCTGTGGAGGGGAAGAGTATTGTCGAAAGAGGCAATTCAAGCTGTTCAGGCGCTCAAGCTCGCTAAATCCTCGCCATCGGCATCCGCCAACGCTCGTACGGACGGAGATGATAAAATGACGGAGGTCTTTCGCGGGAAAATCGCGCGTCTTCTAAAAGCTGATCTGCTTGACGTGCTCAAGGAGCTCCAGCGCCAGAATGAGTGGGGAATCGCTCTTCAGGTCCTTGCTTTTTTTTTTTTTTTTTGACTCCCCTGGTCTTTGAACATGTTGGAAATTGTGGTAGAGTTTATGATTTTAGTTAAAGTGCTTTCTTAAAGTTACATTTTTAATCAAAATCACAGAAAATGATGTAAACAAAAGGAAAACAAAAAAAATACGGGCTCATTGATGGAGCATATAGATGGTGTCATGAAAGCCACGAATAGTATAGGTTGAGCATAGTAAAGGCTCCAATGTTTCACCAATCCAAATATTTTCATAACATTGATGACAAAAAAAGGAACAGAGTGTCTTGAAAGAAATACCCCAACATATACATCATCAACCCAAAAAATATAATTTGCATTCCTTTGATCAAGTGAGAGACATCAACTTGCAGTAGATAATAAAAATCTCCCACAACTATCAAAACGAATAAAGAAGTGATAATAGAGTAAACCGGTATATCCAGTATAAGGTCATCCATAAACCAGAAACATTTAAGTGATAACAGCAAGCGTAGGTAGCAGATTATTAAGGTGGTTACACTTGGCGATATATCAGCAGACATCAATAAAATAACTATAAGAATGAATCAGCATAGAGATGATAAACAGTCCTGCAAGAAGAAGAAAATCAGCCAACAAAACGCAACTAGCAGGGAGCCAAAACAACACCCTCTTACATATAGTAACACATAAAGGGAGAAAAAATTAAAAAAATATCATTACAACATATAAGCCCTCAAGAAAAGTTTTAAGTGACTTTTTAACAGAATGGCCTAAGTGGAGCATGAATTCTGCTGAAAATTCTGCCATTTATATCAACCCAAAGATAATGTGCTATAATATGAATAGAAAGTAAAATAAACCTAGAAGTAATGCTACAATTGAAATCCTTGGCATATTAAATGACTTGAATAAAGCTACCTCAAAAGAAAAGAATTTTCATCCGGCACACTGTTTAATATTATGGAATCAGTTAGGTTTTTAAAAGGATAAATATGTTAAAGATTTGATGTTGCTCTGACAAAAAAATGCAGTTTTGGCCCAAAGGAATTCCTCTTAAAATCAAAATGTCTTTAGTTTTGAACCCATTAATAAGGATTTTCCATGTAAACATAGCATATTTTATGACACAACATTTGAATCGAACCAATTTCCTCCAACTAGCCTCAGGTTCATTTAAAAAAAAAAAAATTGAGAGAAAGTAGCTTCAAAAGAAAAGGTTAGCTTTCCCGGCCATTTGCTAGGAGAGCTGCGAAGATTAATACTAATCTTAAGAATGTGATGTAAGCAACTTTGGTAGTTATTGTTAGAGGGCACAGATTGCTATTTTGAATAAACTAGCTGATTTTGGTAGCAGTGTCATAGTTGAAACATTCAATAACATTAGAATCAAATAACTCCATAAGAGATTTGCTTTAGAGCTAGGAGTCATAGAAGAAGGAAAAGTTGCTATTTTTAGTAACATTTAAGGTAATCCAAGATCTAATTTTGCTGCTAACCTTACAAATATATTTTCAGAAACAAGTAACATTTCTTGTAGGTTTATTCCAAATAGATTCATAATTACCAAAGAGCCAAGAAGTAAGAAATATTTTGTTATCATACAGCCACCAAATAAGTTTGCATTTGCCCATGAACTGAAGATTTTCAATGGATGGAATGATGAGACACCATACGCAATAGGTTTAGATGTATTGTCCAAAGCAATAATCCTCAACTCCCTATCTTCTCCACCATTATCTATGAATTTACTTATGTAACTAAAGGGTTTCATTCTAACACCTTTTGAGGGAGTATTTGACCCGAACAAACAAAAATGATATTTCTAGATAGAGTATCTAGTCAATTGAAACTTTCCAGCAAAAGAGATCAATCTTTATTTCCAACCACTCAGCCAATTGTTGGGCTTGCCCATAATTTTGGAGCATTCATTGACATTAAGTTTGTTGTTAGAAATAGTGATATCAAGGTAATTCCAATGGAGGTTCTTAGGCTGAAATCCAAGGATGTTGCAAATTTGATCTCTAGCATGTGTGTCCACCACTTTTCCAATGAAGAGACCACCATTTAAGCAATAGGCGTAGTAGCATTGTCCCAAGAAATAATCCTGAACTCCTTGTCTTCCCATTATTATTGGGAAATTGCTTATGCAACTAAAGATTTTCTTTCTAACACCTTTAAGGAGAGTTTTGGACCTAAAAAAGTAATAGAGCTAGCTCAAGATAAAGGATGTAATTAATTGGAATTGTCCAGCAAAAGAGAGCAATCTTTGTTTCCAACCATTCAACCATTTGTTGAGATTGTCCGTAGTTTTAGAGCAATCATTGGCATTAAATTTGGCGTTAGAAATAGTGATCCAAAGATAATCCCAAGGTAGGTTCTTGGGTTGAAATCCAAAGATGTTTCAAATTTGATCTCTAGCATTTGTGCCCACCACTTTGGAGAAGTGGATAGTTGACTTGATAATCTTCATATGAAGCCCAATAGAATATTTGAAGATGTCTAGTATGATAAGTAAACAATTCATAGTTTTGGGTTTAGCTTTGTGAACGACAAGCAGATGGTCAGTATATATAAGATGAGAAATAGAAGATCTCTTCTCTTTGTAAAGATCAGCATCTTAGAATATTTATTTATTAATCTAGAGAAACTATCCATAATGAGATTGAAGAGAAATTATGATAAAGGGCATCCTTGAATAGTCTGTTGTCCTTGTCCATTTGGGGAGAAAAAATAATCTCTTAGTTTAGATAGCAGAGAAGTACATATTTAAGGTACAAGCCATGACCCAATCAATGAGTTTTAGGGGAAACCCATATATATATATAAATGTTTAAAATTGCGTAATCGGGTATTGAGGCGTTTTTCGTTCGTGAGGCGAGGTGTAAGCCTCAAGGCGTTTTGAGGCGTAAGCCTCAAATTCATTTGCAAGGATGATATTATTTGCAATATCCCTATCCTGAATAAATGCAGATTGGACAGGGTGAATATGTTGGTGAAGGAGGGGTTTTAAGTTACCAACAAAAAGCTTGGCAATCACTTCATAAATAGTGTCATAGAGGAAGGTTGGTCTGTAATCATCTAAAGTTTTAGCATGAGACGTTTTAGGAATTAAAGTGACAGCAGAATAATTAACCCTCTTTGGTAAGGCAGTGGTTTCATAGAAGTAGAAAACTATCTTAATAAAAGAATTACCAGTAACTTCCCATGTATCTTTAAAGAATTTAGATAAAAATTTATTAGGCTTAGGTGATTTATCAGACCAATACCAAATGAGATAGTCTTGATCTCATCATCTGTGAAATCAGCAAGAATTTGATATTTGTCTTTCATAATATGAGCATTTTTGACAGGAATTTGATTGGAGTAATGAACCTTTTTGACATTGTCCTGATTGAGAAGTGAAGTAAAATGAAAGTAAAATGAGAAATAACAGCATTTGCAATATTATTTTGAGAGCAGGTTGACTGGCATTATAGCTAATTTCTTTGATTTGATTATTTTTAGATCGGCATTTAATATTTTGACACAGGAATTTTAAGTCATCTTCCCCTTTCTTGAGTCAAGAGCATTTGGATCTTTGTTTAATGCATCTATTGCACAAATGGTGGCATTAACAAGAGCTCTTTGATTTATGAGTGCATCATTGTGAAGAGAATGGCTCAAAGGTTGGCTCCCAAGATCCTGAAAATTTCTATTTTGCTCTTTCATAAGATTTGATATCACATTGGATATATAAGAGGAGTTCCAGTTTGCAGTTTTTAGCTTATTCTTAACATTATGCAATCTGCCATAAAAGGCAAAAAGTGGATCCCCAGAAACAGAAATATTCCAAGCTTCATGAGTGATATCTATAAAATTTGAACAATTACTTGAATAGCTTTTATACAAAAATCTTCCTCTAAGAGGTTGAGGATTTTCAAGAGATAATATAATTGGAGAGTGTTCAGAGGATAGAGGAGGCAAGGACCTTGTAATGAGATTAAGGGCCTAAGGGGTATTGATTTAACTATTGAATATTGCAGAATGCTCAATCAAGTAAGCATTGGATGGGTTTATTAAGCTGTTGATTAAACTAGAAATAAAACTAGCAATAAGAAAGACCTGTAATTGTGAGCTCCAAAAGACTAGATTTAAATATACAAGTTTATTATCAATGAGTTTTGCAAAGAAGAGGAGGGTTCCCACCCATTTTTTCAACTTTGTTGATACAATTAAAATCTCCCATAATAATCCAAGATTAAAATATGGTTGTACAAATCTCTAAATGGCATCCTAAGGAATCTTCCTCTCATTAGAACCATTTTCAGCATATATAGAAGTAAGTAGAAATTTGGATGATTGGAAATATTTGAGCATGCCATGTATGAATTGGGAATGAGTAATCAGAGTGGTGAAAGAGATAGAAGAAACATCCCATTTACGCCATAGGCAACCATTTCCAAGTAACTAAAAATTATTGCAACTTCTCTCTCTCTCTCTCTCTCTCTCTCCCCCCCCCAAAAAAAAAAAAAATAACACTTGAATTTCCTACAAGAGAAAGGTTGCTCCAAAGCTGAAGCATTCAACTTGCTTTCCATCAAACAAATGCTTTGCATTACAATTTTTGACAATTTTATTGTGATTTTTCCATCACCATTATTCCATGAAATAATGTTTGGGAAAAATATAAGGTAATTATTGTTTAGTATCTTCTTTACTCCTAGTCTTTCTTTGCTTTAACGTTAGAGGGAATTGCATTTTGTGCTTGCTATAGAATATCTGAGGTGGAGACAAAGGGCTTTGACCATATTATTATTAGGTTGGCCAGAGGTGGTCAACATATGAGGGTTTGCACCATAATGTTGAGGAGGAAGAGTTGATTTGGATGGAGAGGTTGCAACCTTAGTGGATGGTTCAAAAACATAATAGTTTTGGTGTGTTGAGGTAGTATTATGGAATTGATGTAGGCAAGGGGGGGGGGGGGGGGGGTCTCAAATCAAACATAAATTTGGTGGACTTTGGGCTGCTGGTTGCTTCTCGGTTTGGTCCTTGGCTGCTTTGATTTTGAGCTGATTTCTGGGAACTAAGTGATTCTAGCTCATAAATGTTGAGTTGTGACTTCAGCTCATTATATTGGTTAGTTCTCCTACTTTTTAGTTCATTATGAGGAGTGAATGTGGTTCTTTACTCCCTTCTCTTGTGGCTCTTAGGTTTCTTCCCTTGGCTATCTTGTTTCTTCCCCTTCTTGTGTCTCTTCGGTTCCTTCTTTGTGCTGTTCCTGTGAAACCTGCTGGGTGTTTGTGTGGGCTCTTTGGTTTCTCCCCCTGGCTGCTTTCCTGTGGCCTCTCCTTTCCGTTTTCTATGTTGGCTCTTTGGGTCCCTCCCTGGTTTTGTTTCCCGTGGCTTTCCTTCCTGTTTCCTGTGCAGATTTTGGGAGTTGTTTGTGGTGTCTTTTGGCCCTTCTTCTTCCCCTTACCTGATTGGTTTTAATGAAGTTTTATGTTGTTGTTTGGCTCCCCTTTCTCTCCTATAAATATGAAGTGTTTGTCTTGAGGAGAGTTTTTTTAGAGTGGATAATATGATGTTATTTTTAAGAGCCTAAACCTGCGGGTTTCGTCGTGGAAAAGCTCGAGAGCTTGTTCCACCTCCTCTTCTTCTTCTACTTTTTGGGAAGGCTTGCGAGCTTCTCCTATCTTCATCTTGGACTTTTAATCCCATTCTTCTTCCCGCAACTATCCACCTCATCATTATCTTTCTTCTCGACAATTGTCACAGCTTCTTTAGGTGTTGTTTATGTGTTGTTTGTAAGTCAAAGTTTGTAAGAGTCTTTTATTATAAAAAGTTGTAATTTGTCTAATTTGTCTATTTTGGGGCAATTTATGTAATTTCTATTTCCATGGAAGATTTAGCTCTTGCTTGCAAAAATTTGGGGCTCTTCCCAAATTTTTGCTTGCATCAATTTGGTATCAGAGCCTAGGTGTGTGTTTTCCTAGGTTGTTTCGTGTCTTTTTTATGTGTTTAGAAAAAATGGAAAATCACAAAAAAATTGATTCAGTCGTGGAAGAAAATCATCCAGTCGATCCTACATTCGAAAGTTCGATGGACAGATGGATTTCGACGGAAGGAAGTTCGACAGATCCACTGCAGAATGAGCTATACAAACTTCAGTCGTGATTGCATATGAGTACGAAAAATTATTTGAAGAAAAGGAAGCGTTTGCAAGAACAATTCAAGCGAGAACGAGATGAGGTCTTGAAAAGGTATGCGGCAAAAATTCAAGAGCTTGAGGTGCCTTCTTTGCCTCCTCGGGAAAAATTTAAAGCTTCCTCATCGGGAGATGAGCTTTTTCAAGTGGGAGAGAATTGATGTAGGCAAAGGGGGGTCAAATCAAAACATAAATTTGGTGGACTTTGGGCTGCTGGTTGCCTCTCGGTTTGGTCCTTGGCTTCTTTGGTTTTGAGCCGATTTTTGGGAACTAAGTGGTTCTTGCTCATAAATGTTAAGCTGTGACTTTAGCTCATTATATTGGTTAGTTCTCCTACTTTTTAGCTCATTATGAGGAGTGAATGTGGTTCTTTAATCCCCTCTCTTGTGTCTCTTGTGGCCCTTATGTTTCTTCCCTTGGCTATCTTGTTTCTTCCCCTTCTTGTGTCTCTTCGGTTCCTTCTTTGTGCTGTTCGCGTGAAACCTGCTAGGTGCTTGTGTGGACTCTTCGGTTTCTCCCCTTGGCTGCTTTCCCGTGGCCTCTCCTTTCCATTTTTTGTGTTGGCTCTTCGGTTCCCTCCCTGACTGTGTTTCCCATGGCTTTCCTTCATGTTTCCTGTGTAGATTTTGAGATTTGTTTGTTGTGTCTTTTGGCCCTTCTTCTTCCCTTTACCTGATTGGTTTTAATGAAGTTTTAAGTGGTTGTTTGGCTCCCCTTTCTCTCCTATAAATATGAAGTGTTTGTCTTGAGGAGAGTTTTTTTAGAGTGGATCATATGATGTTATTTTTGGGAGCCTAAACCTGCAGGTTTCGTCGTGGAAAAGCTTAAGAGCTTGTTCCACCTCCTCTTCTTCTACTACTTCATGGGAAGGCTTGCAAGCTTCTCCTATCTTCGTCTCGGACTTCTAATCTCATTCTTCTTTCTGCAAGTATTCACCCTATCAATATCTTTCTTCTCGACGATTGGCACAGCTTCTTTAGGTGTTGTTTATGTGTCGTTTGTAAGTCAAAGTTTATAAGTCTTTTATTATAAAAAGTTGTAATTTTTCTAATTTGTCTATTTTTGTGCAATTTATATAATTTCTATTTCCTAGGAAGCTTTAGCTCTTGCTTGCAAAAATTTGGGGCTCTTCCCAAATATTTGCTTGCATCACAATAGAGTGGAAGATAGATCATTTGAAATATTTCCAAAGCCAAGAGAATTAGGTGAATTAGATGATTCAAGGATACAAGCATTTGTTGGGAGCATGTTTAGGCTTGGAGCTAAGGGAGAGTTGAGCATTTTGTTGTTTGAGGTATGTTGAGGAATGGGTGCTCTACAATGATTGTGATTGTAGCCTTTTGTAGTTTTTGTGATTTGTGGAGGTTCTTTTGAATTTTTCTTATAGCAAGAGGCTACAGTCTATCTTTGAGTGAGAGAAATTAAAAAGGAAAAATTATCTTTAAGCGAGAGACGATCAAATGTACCTTTTAGCTTCTAAATTTTACTCACAATGGATAGGAGATTACTATAGAAAGGTTGACAGCCGTTGCCATATCCCACTAAGGCAAGAATCCAAGGTTTAGCTCCTTCCTTGACCATCAGAGAAGGATACTTTTTCTTCAAGCATATTTATGTAGTTGAGGTAGAAGCACTAGGAATATTAGTTGTTAAGCAACCCCTTCTAGTTAAGGATTTGTGGCGGAGTGTGGCCATGCACCTAAGATGGAAAAAGCAGCTGAATGGAGGGTGGAAAATTGGTTTTGGCCATAGAGAAAATTCCTTCGACAGAGTCGGAGTAGAAGAGGCTGGATTAGTCAAGGAAATGATGGGAGAGTGCTAGAGGAGAGGTGGGGTTCTGGCGAGAAGAAACCCTACCACCATAGCTATAATGGAGAAACCCTAGCTAAGCACAATTCCTTGAGACGAGAGTTTACTTGACAAAGTGCTTCATTCTTTGAATTACTCTCTCCCCCCCCTCTCTCTCTCTCTACCTTCATGTCTTTTAATGCATTGATATAGGGATGCTGATTCCGATTTCCATCTATAATATTTTTTGTATCTGTTCATATCAAAAGTGGTTGGTCATGTAATAGTGTTTTATTTCCCATTCATTCTGCTAATGTCAAGATTGTTGATCATGGGTGTTAAACCAAGTATTTCATCGTAAAATGATTCTTAATGACACTGCAAGTACAGTGGTAGCTTTCTTCTTCCCAATTCGGAATTGTGTTGAATGAATCTATTCATCTAGCAGTTTGGCATAATACATTGGCTAGCACTTGTTTAACAGTTTTTTTTAAGTGTGTGGCAATATATATGTAGATTTTCATGAACCTTAAAATGATGGTTCCTCGTGCCTATGACAAAGATGCATGACCTTCAAATCAATGCTTAGACATTGAATTTCCTTCTCATATTCTACATTTCAGACTGCTATTGCATGTGATGCTGTAGTAATGCTATATTTTTGTGTAAAAGTTTAAAATTTCTATACGATGAGATTGGGGAACCTCTAAATGTCTTTGATGCCAGCTTCTCAGCTTCTGAGCAATTCTTCGTATCCTTGAAATTTTGTTCCTACGTTTCTTGGGCAAAAGATGCTTCCTGTGAAAATAAATTTTATATGTTAAATTTCCCCTCACATCATACAGAATTTTTTTCTTGAGTGAATACTTAGTATTATCAATTTCTCAATGCCTTATTCCTTGGCAAATTTGGTGCATTTGATGCGCCGCCACATGCACTGTTCAGTTCATTTGGATATTTTTTCTTTATTTCGTGCTGGCGATCAATAATTATAAAAATGGGTATTCTGTCATATAACTTTAGTAACAATGTGAAATTATTTCAAAACCAATCACTTAAACATTATGTAATTTAGAATCTAATAATGCAGTAATGTCTTACAGCGACATCGAAATTAATATGTGAATACCATTGAAAGCTAATAAAAATGTCAATCATTTTGAATTTTGAGTAAGGTGCTAAAACTTGTACTCTATAAGTAGAACAAAGATGGACATACTTTTCTCTGACAAAGTTAGCAGATGACTATGTTCTAGCTATTGGATTTGTCCCATAAATTTGTTATCTATAAAGTTGAGGATTTTAGATATTGTTTTGAATTTGATGTCTGATCCACTGTCTGTTATATCGCCTATTTACTTCCGCTCTAACTGCAACATAAATATTTCAGGTCTTTACTTTCATTAAAAAGGAGGTTTGGTACAAACCAGATTTATCTCTCTATAGTGATATGATTATGATGATGGGAAAAAATAAGTTGATTGAAAATGCTGAAAATCTTTTCGTAGAAATAGAGAAAGAGGGTGTTCACCCTGATACTAGAGCCTTTACTGAAATTATTGGAGCCTTCCTGCAAGTTGGCAATGTGGACAAGGCTATGCATATGTACAACTTGATGAAGAATTCTGGTTGCAATCCAGATAAGTTGACTTTCACCATATTAGTTAGAAACTTGGAGAAGGCAGGAGAGGAAGACCTTGCAATTTCTGTAAGGAGGGACTGTAAACAGTATATAGATTCCCCCGAGAAGTTCCTACAAGAGTTGGACAAGGAATATGTGAGTAATTTCCTAATTATAAGATAAAAATTATTTGCATTTGTGTGCTCTGCTTTTGTTCCTTTTTTTTGCTCTATTTTGATGGCATATAATTCATATAGCCCATTTGCAAATTTATGCAATGGATGAAATCTCAGAATAGGATTTGAAATTCTGCACTTCTAAGACCAGTTAAAACTGTACATGTTTTATTTTTATTTAAACCCAAAAATACGATTAACACCAAAAGATAATTTAATTGTCCCTCAAATCAAAGAAATTCAGCAAAAAATTTAGAACCACCTAAAACTACACACAACACAAGATTCACACCTCATAAGAAACCTAGCCGTAAAGATTTGACTAAAATCAAAGCAAGCTTGCGAACTAATTATAAATAATGTAGAAGAACGAGATATGATAGCACCAAGTAGAAAACCAGGCCTCTTACGATAGTCCTTGAAAATTGGTACTTTGTCTTGCCCCACACTCGGATTTTTCAACATCCAACAAGCACACCCAAAGTTGAACATAATATAAATTTTTTATCAGGCCAAAAATTTTTAATATATGCCCCGTAATTTATTAATTATAACTTAAAAAACCCCTAGAGCCAATAACCTACGAAATTTCCTCAAATTTAACATTGCATTAGGTTATGTAGATATATACAAGTGTAGAAATCTGTATAAATATGGAGATACCAAAAATCATTGACAGGGAATCAGTAGAACAACACAGCTGAATCAGACTAACAAATCAGAGCTAGTGATCAAGCGAAGTCGAGAACAAAGATCAGCGCATTTAAATAGATCCCACGAATCATCAAAATCTAGAACTTCCAAATTAAAAATTGAACTTGGGAACTCTTAACCTTTAATTGAACTAGGGAAAATTTAGTAGATTATTAAACAATGGAACCGAACTGACCTTACTGAATTAGGGAATCAGACTATTAGAGAATCTTGTTCTCATATGCATCTCATCATTAGATATGTTCCATGTAAATTGAAATTAAAAAGTAAAACAGAAACTGCAAAATAAAATATGGAAAAGAAATAGTATAAATGCGTTGACATTCCAGCAAGGATGTTGAAACCATTTACTGATCAATAGGATAAATTTTGATAGATCTCTAGTGGAGTCTTGTTAAAATGAATATGGAAACTAATTCCTGTATTCTTTTTGTAAATATCGCATAAAGAGTAATTTGACAATGCATGATTTTACTTTGGAAACCTGTGATTAGTTTGTTCTTTCAGTTAAGACTCTGATTTGCTGAGGTTGGTTCTATGGGGATTGGGTCATGATTTACGGGCTAAACATTTTATTTAATCACACATTACAAACTTTTGTGTGTACAAACCCAACGTTAAGATAGCAAGTCCAACACTTCGCTGTATTTGGTGCTAGCTAGGGATGCAAACAAACTGAGCCAAGCCGAGTAGGTTCTTGTTCATATTTGACTTCATTTTATCTGCTTGTTCATACTCGTTTGATCTCGATTCGAGCTTTATTATTTGTGTTTAAGCATTGCTTGTTTAAATTGATAGATCTTCATGTTTGGTTTGTGTTTGGTTCATGTTCAATTTTTTTTGCTTATTGAGCTTTAAACAAACGAGTTTTATTAAGCTATTAATGAGCTCTACTTCTAGATGTTCATTAGCTTAACAAAAGAGTTTTATTGAGCCTACTAATAAACAATTACCTCAAACTTGTTCGCGAACATATCTAGTAATTGTTTTCGAACTACCAAATGAGCTCATTCATGAGCATATCTAGCAAGTGTTTTTGAGCTACCAAACGTGTCTATTCGCAAACATAACTTGTGAGGGTTTTCAAACTATCAAACAAACTGGTACAGACGAACATATTTAGTGAGTTTTTTTTTAGTTACAAAATGAGCTTGTTCACAAACAAAAGTTATAATTCTTTTTATAAGAAGCTTGTTCATGAACATTTTAAACTGGCAGTCTAGCAAACATAAACAAATATCTCTTGTTCACGAACAAATTCATTCTATTGAAAGAATATAGCATAAAAAAATAAACTTATTTTATAAAATAAAAATCACTTAATATTACTTTTTATTATCCTGCCAAAATGATTAAAATCCATTCAATAGATTGAATCATAAACGCTTTTCTGATAAAATTATATTTTAGCTCATATGCAGCTGCTCTTTCATGAAATTTAGCCGCCATAACCACCTCTGGCCCCGCTCCTTCCTCTTCCTCATATGCAGCTGCTATACAATATATGAAGGCTTCTACAATTCATTTCTATTCTGCAATTTAACCACATCTACATCTAATAAACTTATCCTTGTAATGATAACAATGTAAATATTAATCTTATCACACTCATAATCCATTCCTCAATTCAACTTTTATGATATGAAAGATTATAACAGAGTATTTGATGTTAAGTAATATACAGCAACAAACGTCTTTTCAATCTATGAAGCTCGTATAATCTTAAGAGGAGTTTTTACACACAATATTATACTCCCATGCACAAGTAATCTGTTACGGAAAAAAATGTCTTAATAAAACTTTAAGCAACTTCTGAATAGCATATATGTGTATGACAAATCATAATTTTCCTAATAAGAGACTTTCAATTTGTCTAATATGTTATAGAACATCTACCTGAAATTGCAACACTAAAACTTACCTCATCACATTTTTTAAAAGCAAGTATTAAGCATGCTAATAATTGAGGTATGTGAAGGATTTTTTAATGACAATAAATTATAGAATAAAAATGAAAGCAACAATAAGCATGCTAATACTAGAAGTTCAGACAAACCTTGATTAGCTTTTCAAGAAGAGATAAAGCACGTTGATATTCTCCTAATTCTACCAAATTAACTGCTGCTCTCTGCAGGACTATAAAAAGAAAATTGAAGTAAAAGAATGCAATGAAAAAAGTTGGTACATTTCTCCTGTTTCTCTTAGGAAGTACATGTTGCTTATGTTCATCATTCCAAAATAACCATGTCAACATCATAATCATATAAATTCTCGTCTCAGAAACATTATAAAACCAAAACAAACATTTAGCAAATACAATTCCACATTAACATCAAAAATAGTCATTGATCATATGTGAAGATTTACTTCAAAGTTCAAGCCAATGACATCCCTGTTCTGCAAAATGTAATACAATAAATGAGTAATTAGCAATTGTAATGAAAATTTTGGCCAATTAGCAATTTAAAATAATAAGCATACCTTAGTTTTTCTTTTTATACAATATAAATTACGATATCAATCACTTCTACAAATACGATTTTGCCCTGTATTTGTTCCTATAGAGGATCTGTATTAATCTATCACTCTTCCACCTGCATTAAAAGTAGATTCTGAAGCAACAGTTGTAACTGGAATAGAAAGTATGCCACTAGCCATCCTTGATAGAATAAGGTATTTTAAGCGGTTAGCCTTCCACCATTCTAAGCAATCAAATTGCACTATTGAATTATCTTCCTCAATAAAAACTCCATCATGTAGGTACACATCGAACTCAAATTTTACTGTGATAGTGTTATCTGTTTTGATGTAAGTTTCTTATTTTTTCTCTCCATAAATAGGGTTGCCTCTAACAGAAGACAAACTTGTACGATGACTATTCATTTCAACTTCAATTGGAACCTTCTCAGCATATGTAATTTTATAATCTTCTACATAATCATTATAAAATTCATACAAACTCGCTCGTACATCGATGATATCCATTTATGCTCCATCTTTAGTATAAATAAAGTTTAAAGCAAATGTTATCATCTTCATTTTATTTCTTGGGTCCAAAATTGCATCTAATGAGATTAGAAGATTATAATTACCCCAATATTTATCAAACTTCTATTTTATTTTCATAGACATGTATCTAATGTGTGCATTTCCACTTAGGCAATTATTATCTAACATATCCTTTATTCCCCAAAGTTCATACATGAATATGTTAGATATAAAAAGAAAAAAAAAATAGGTAATGACTTCTCAAACTAGATTAATATATAAGGATTATTAAACTTGAATTCACATGGATATGTACCTGAAATCAAGTTAGTTGTTTGATTAAAAAATTAAATAAATGAACAAACATCCTCTAACTTCCTCCATTCCTCCTTAGTAGGGCGGGTAGTGTAGCTTGAATCCCTATCTTGAAATCTAGCTAGTGCAGTTGATAGTATCATGTAGGTAGTAGCATTCTATCTAGTTACACAATCTAGGATTAATTTCTTCTTGGGAAGGTGCAGTTGTTGTGAAATTTAACTTGAAATGAGAGTATGCACTGTTGAGAAGCTGTAACATACTTTACACTATCTGTAACATTGTCAATAATATGTTTTATCTCATGAATTCCAGCTTGTACCAACAAATTCAGAATATGTGCACAATAATGAGCATAAAATATTCAACTACCCAGAGAAAGCTTATTGTGAAACTCAAGCCACTTTGTTGATATTATAAGTTGCATTATCAATTGTTATGGTTGCAACTTTATTTTCAATCCTTCAATCCTTAAGTCATTTATAGAAGACATCATGAATATTAGTTGTCTTGTGAGGTGGAGGGACATTAACAAAGTTGAGCATTCTTTTCTAAGTTTCCAGAATATCAACAAAATGGCATGTCAAAACTATATGATGGATGCTTTGATCAAACTTTCATAAGTTCGTAGTTACACTAACTCTAATTACTGAATCTAATAAGTTCCTTAATCTTTTCTTTCCAATCTTAAAACTTGAAACTGTGGGCTCCAAAAATCCGGCCCCGGCCTCCCCGCCGCGCTTTTCTTTTATTTCGGCGAGGGGAGTTTTAACGAACTAAGTTCCGGGGTAAATTTTGGAAGAACGGTGGCCTCAAAAACCCCGCCCCCGCCCCCCCCGCCGCGCTTTTCTTTTATTTCGGCGAGGGGAGTTTTAACGAACTAAGTTCCGGGGTAAATTTTGGAAGACAGATGGGTTTGTAGATAAGACACTACCCAGAGATTTCGCCCTCATTTTGCGAGGA